GACACTATTTCTGCTTTGCCAGATGGATGGACTGCAGAACAGTTTATAATCTAGGATTGTTACTGCAGAAGATATCCCAGTAAAAGAGAGCACACAGCAGAGGACTTGTACTTGATCCACAAAAGAGTTAATAATGATGTGATGCCAAACGCACTGTTGGTGGAAGTTCCAGACTGCACAAGGATAAATAATGAGGTTGGGGGTCACTGACTGAAATGTTGGTTTAATTAACTAAGGTCAGGTGTCAGGACAGTTTGCCAGAGTGTCATAATGGTCAATTTGACATGTTTGCTAGTAATCCTGATTGCTTAACAGACACAGCAAAATTAAACAGTGCAGTAGAAGTAGGACCCCTACAGGTTCAGGAAGGTAATTTGAGAAAAGATTTTCTAAGGTGTTGGAAGAGTGGATAGTGAATTGGAGAGTGAACAAAAGGGCTGAGGGACAATCACAAGAGCATAATTATGAGGTGCAAACCATATAGATCAACTACATCTACTGGCGAGCTAACAGAGCTTTCAACTACAGTCCCAGTCTTTCTTCCTAACCTTCAACTAGTCCCAACATCCTGGCCCTCTGATGCATTTCACCCTGATAGGGCTTAGTCATAGCAGACTCCTCAAGGTAGACTTCTCTGGTCCCAGATGAAGTCTTTCATGACGTAACATGTAGGTTGGAACCTGGAGACTCAGTTGTATGCTCTCAGTGCTACCTTGAGGAGTCTGCTGCACAGTGAAGGAACTGTAACAAACAGCAGCTTCCCAGGCAGCCTTTTAGAGAAAAAGAAACATTTTTTTGTTTATCCAAATTTGAATGAATTTGTAATTGAAATACATTGTGGTGTTTTGAAATTGCAGAGAGCACTATGGGGGAGATAACACTAAAACTGGAGCACTCAGAATCTGGTGCAGCTGTGCATGGTAGACAATCAGCTTCTAACTTCAGCTTGTTCAATAAAAAACCTGGCATCTGATTGGCTACCATGCACAGCTGCACCAGATTTAGCACACTCCAAGTTTTAGCAAATTTTCTCATATGTGTTCCTATTTGTATTGAGTACAACATTAATTCTGATCATCTGGGGAACAGTGATCTTCTGTGAAATCCTATGCACAGTGGCGGTAGCTCTTTCCTGGCATGTTAACAGGAAACCTGCCATATCTGACCTTTTCTAACTTGAAGGTTAAGTTCTGAAGGTGAGAGTGTGCCCACTGGGGATGGTGGTGGTTGTACTATTAAACAGCATTTTAGAAGATTAAAGAACTTTAAGATCATATATGGACACTAATGGACATCTTTTAAACTTGTTCTGCACTGCTTGATGTACTTTCTATACAGCATTAGTTCATATCATCAGTATTTGAATTATTGCACAGTATTGAATTGTATTTGATTTGTTTGGCTTGTTTAATATGGTTTGTATTGAGCATAGCACATTATTTTATATGGCATTGAACACTGATCTCATGTCTGTGGTCGGTTTTGCACATTCTGATTGTAATAATTACATACATATTTCACGGCAGGCAAGCAGTTTCACACCCCTCCTATAAAGAATTGCCCATGCCTCCAAAGCTTTCACAAGCCACAAATCCAGTGGTTGATAAACCTTCAAATTTTCTGTTTGTATTTTTCTTTTGCATTAAGTTCTGACATGCAAAATGTGATATTGATCCAGAAGAAAGATATTGGAAATGATCTCCCTCCACCAGAGGCATTGAGGACACTCCCAGGGGCAGACCAATAGATATGGTCAGTCTTGTTGTGGGATGTGGTCTCTCCTCTCTATAAATATCCACTGGGAATCTGGAATCAGTCTACAAAGCAACACCGAATCTTCTTTGCCTTTGGTGAGCAAAGCATCAATATGACAACTCTATGTTCCCTTGCTGTGATTGCTTCCAGTCTGTTGGTGGTTCAGTTCCTTTCATTCTCTACAGCTCGAGGTCAGTCTTGTTGACAGTAATATACATATGTAAAATGGACTAGGTTTTCTAAAAAAGTGTTTGATGGGTGGATTGTGTCTCCATGGTCCCTTTTGGTATAGAAGCCTAGATCTTTGCATCTTCTGTACAACACATGTACTGGAACTGGTTTAAGTGAGAATCCTCATGAGCAAAGTGGGCTCAGTTCTCAATCCTGTACACCATATTTTCATTTTTTTTCCCTGAAGTTCTGCTGACTAGGTGTTGCTGACTAAGCTCAGAGGGGCTGCTCAGTTGGTAGCTATGTGTAAGCTCAGAGAGACATGCTTGGTCTTTATTTGAATAACTGCTGTTCCTAAACATTGATGTTACCTGGAACAAGAGACGTTTATAAACAGTGAATATTAGTTTGCATTTAAAATGTAGTTAATATTACAGGAAAAAGTTGTGGATAGCAAGGGGTTGGTGGGTATAAGCGCAGGCCTTCCCTGTCTAGTGGTTTATCCATCCATGATGAATATTTTTTTTTTCTGTAGGATTTCAACAGTTTTATCTCTTTTTTTCCATTACTACTTCATATTCAAGAGTGGGGTTATTGTTCAGGTGGAGTTTGTGACTTATACCAAATTAAAAAAGAAAAAAGCGCCACTTACAAAAAACACCAAAATGTCAGCAGCACATCCCACCCAAAATAAATTTTGGCAACAATCCGAATTAAAAGGTATGTGCTAATAACAAACTTATACAAAAGTGTATATCATCATCCAAAAAACATTAGTGTTTTAAATAAATAATTATAACCTTTCGTCGTACTGCCCCTTGATGACGTCGGGTGTGACGAAACCGGTTGGGCGTAGCCTACTCGATGTGGACGTTAGATAGCCTTTGCTGTTCTGTGCTGTATGGGAGAGATCTGCGGTGAGCGTTAACTGTATCTCAACCCTTTTTTGCGATTGAAGCTGGTGTCGGTTGGACACCTTGTTTGTGAGTTTCCTTATACCTCTTTTATTAAAGAGATAAATGAAAAAAACGTATTGCACCATTATGTTCTCTTTTTTGTCCCTGAGTGTACTGCATGCTCTCATGGAGGTATGAGAAAGAGTGGAGAAGTTCATCATAAGAGCTTGGGCTGCAAAGTTGTTTGGCTGTGATTATTATTATCTGGAAGTATCTGAAACATCACCATATCTATTTGGACATCGGGTTCATTGCTCCCAGAGCACAAGCGCTGTTGCTGGTTTATAATCTGACCAGCCATTAGCTCTGGTGAGTTCATTTAATCTCCTTTGGTGGTGGTTTTTTCACAATTGGTTCAAGTCACTGAAGATATATATATATATTTTTTGGACACTAATTTATGTTTGGACACTATAATTATTTATTTAAAACACTAATGTTTTTTGGATGATGATATACACTTTTGTATATGTTTGTTATTAGCGCATACCTTTTAATTCGGAGTTTGTGACTTACCTAAAGACGTTGGCCCATCTGTGCCTCGCTATTACTATGATATGGAGACAGGCACTTGCAATATTCATCTGTGGTGGTTGTGAAGGAAATGCAAACAATTTTCATACTAAAGAAGCCTGTGAAAGCATGCGCAATAGAGGAATTTGTTCTGTGTTATTGTGTGTTGCTCAACATTGATTCATTAGTAGTGTATCCATTTCTGATGACTTCTTTATCTATAAAGTTTGAACAGTTATGTTTACCACCTATTATCTCTTTTTTTCCATAGCTATTTCATATTCAGGAGTTAGAGAAATCTGTGACTTGCCTAAAGACCCTGGTCCATGTGAGGCATTTATGCCACACTTTTATTATGATAAGAACACAGGGACTTGTGAGCTCTTCATCTATGGTGGTTGTAAAGGAAATGCAAATAATTTTCGTACTAAGGAAGCCTGTGAAAATGCATGCCAAAGCCAACCAGGTATTTGCTGTGTGTGTTATTGTGTGTTGCTCAACATTGATTCGTTAGTGGTGTATCCATTTCTGATGACTTCTTTATCTATAAGGTTTCAACAGTCATGTTTACCACCTATTATCTCTTTTTTCCATTGCTATTTCATATTCAGGAGTTAGAGAAATCTCTGACTTGCCTAAAGAAGTCGGTCCATGTGAGGCATTGATGCCACGCTTTTATTATGATAAGAACACAGGGACTTGTGAAACCTTCAACCATGGTGGTTGTAAAGGAAATGCAAACTATTTTTCTACTAAGGAAGCCTGTGAACTTGCACTCCAAGGCCAACCAGGTATTTGCTGTGTGTGTTATTGTGTGTTGCTCAACATTGATTCATTAGTAGTGTATCCATTTCTGATGACTTCTTTATCTATAAGGTTTCAACAGTCGTGTTTATCACCCATTATCTCTTTTTCCATTGCTATTTCATATTCAGTTGTGTTTTTTTTTTTCAGAGGGAATATGTGACTTTCCTCGATTAACTAGTTGCCAACCGCAGATAGCCGAATGATGGCTGCTCTGTGGCCGACCAGTTCTGGGTGGACGTCATATGACGTCCTCCAGAACTCACTCTCCTGCGCACCCAGTGATCTCCGTGAATGCTGTGTCCTAAGGACACAGCTGATCACGTGATGTGGTAAAAGGCCAATCACAGCGGCCTTTTACCAAAGCCTTTTACCAGTGTGTCCAATGACATGGTGATCACAGGGAAATGCAATTGCCGGTTCTCAGCTGCACTTTCCTCACGCTGTCAGAGCGTGAGGACAGTACTGCCGAGAACCGGCAGTTGAAAGAGCCGGGATTGGCAGTGATCATCAGGATACTGATGATTAGTGCCCTGATGATCATTGCCCAGCAGTGCCACCCACCAGTTCCACCCACCTGTGCCCACCAGTGCCGCCCACCAGTGCCCATCAGAGCCACACACCTGTGCCACCCACCAGTGCCCAGCAGTGCCAACCACCTGTGCCACCCACCAATTCCCAGCAGTGCCACTCACCTGTGCCCATCAGTGCCGCCTATCAGTGCCACCTCATTAGTGCTGCCTATCAGTGCCGTCTTCAGTACCCATCAGTGCTGCCTATCAGTGCCGCCTATCAGTGCTTTTATTATGATAAGAACACAGGGACTTGTGAGCTCTTCATCTATGGTGGTTGTAAAGGAAATGCAAACAATTTTTCTACTAAGGAAGCCTGTGAAAATGCATGTCAAAGCCAACCAGGTATTTGCTGTGTGTGTTATTTGTGTGTTGCTCAACGTTGATTTATTAGTGGTGTATCCATTTCTGATGACTTCTTTATCTACAGTGAAGGAAATAAGTATTTGAACCCTGCTGATGTTGAATGTTTGCCCAATCCTTTGGAATAAAATAAGCAGAAAAATATCACAAAGAGCATATAATCTCAAAAATAAATATAGAATATATATGAAAATATATATATAATCGTTGAACCCCCAAAGTACTAGATCTAGAGTGTTACCTACATGCACATTAAATAGATGACTAATGGATATCAAATTATATATAAAAAGATATATATAGAATACACATGAATGTGCAAAATCATATATGACGGTGAAACTCCCAAAATATAGCTAAGGTGTAACCTAAGTACACCCTAAATCAGTGATTTATAAGTGACAATCCTTAATAAGTGCCAAATGAGTGATAAAATAAAATCCCACCACTACTGTTCTAAATTGCACAAATGACTAGTGATGTAGAAAATATAACTGCACGTATATTCCGTGCCAAACTGGTAATTGCCAAAAAAACTACTCGAATAAACACTTATAGTGCTCATAAGTGAAGAAAATTTTTTTTTGAAAAAGTGGTTAATCGTGAAAAACCACAAAGCTAGTATAACACAACATAACTGAAAATGCAACATCCAAATTCCGCAGATAAATGACTAATAAAAGAATAAATGTGAACCATATAGCAGTGACCCCTAATTGGGGATAAAGTGAAAATTAGTGGCTAAGTGACACTAATAGAATCTTTGTATGTAGTGAAGCGTTTATAAACATAAAAAACAGGAAAGACAAACTGCTTAACGTGACACCAATGCGGGGATAAAAATTGGAAATAAGTGATATATATGTGATTCCGTGACATAAAAAAACAAAAATCATATAAAATTATATCCAATTTGTAGAGTGAATCTCATCCAAAACAAACTTAAGGTCCAAAACCACCTAAATCTCATCCTTTTCTGTAAGGTTTGGACAGTCGTGTTTACCACCCATTATCTTTTTCCATTGCTATTTTATATTCAGGAGCAGGGGCGGACTGACCATTTAGGAACTCGGGCACTGCTCGAGGGCCCGGGGTCAGAAGGGGGCCCCATGAGATGCCCCTGGTACCTTTCATAGGCTTTTTTGGGTGTGGTTTGGATGTGGGCAAGGACACAGGGGCCCCATGATGCCCTATTGCCCGGGGGCCCCATGAGTTGTCAGTCCGCCCCTGTTCAGGAGTGTTTTTTTATTAGGGGGAACCTGTGACTCTCCTCCAGACGTCGGTCCATGTAGGGCATATGTACAGCACTATTACTATGATGAGGGGAAGGGCACTTGCCAGACATTCACCTATGGTGGTTGTCAAGGAAATTCAACCAATTTTGTTAGAAAGGAAGACAGTGAGAGCACGTGCAAAGCCAAACAGGTCTCAATTATTTGAATCTGTCAAAGATAAAAATCCTGTATGTTGGATGCAAACTTCTAGCACATAATACCAATGTGAAAAACGTGAAATAAAGATAAGTGTGTATTGCGCTCACAACCTTTCAATCTGTATATCTAAATAAATAAAAATGTGTATGATAAACATAGATGACTTCATTTTGAATCTGTAAGTCCACTCCAATAAACAGTATGCATAAAACAGTGAAAAAATGTAAAAAAAAAACCCATATATCTGTTTTGTCCCACAAAAAAAGTGACTTTTGCTGGAGTTCAATATTTAAATAGGTGACTGCTTGTGCCTCCTCCCCTCAAGTGAAGATATGCGCTCGCATCACCTCATAGATAGCCGCAATTAGGCTATTAAAGCTTCCTGTCTTCCTGTATCCATGCGGTTCTCCATATACAAGAAAAATCCTGACATGGTGCTTTGCCAATCGTTTTAAAAGCTTTAATATTGTGGCTGACAGGTGGCACTGCAAAATGCGTATATTGGTAGTACAACATCTCTGACCGCCTGAGGGGGATTCAATCAAATTGATGAAGCACGTGACCATGCGTAACGCGTAGGGGTGGGACTGTATAGTCACTCATTAGTGGCCATCGGACCCAGCGCACAGCTCCGACAGTCAGCGGCGGTCAGAGATAGTTGTACTACAATATACGCATTTATGTGAGTGCCACCTGTCAGCCACAAATTAAAGCTTTTAAAACGATAAAGCACCATGTCAGGATTTTTCTTGTATATGGAGAACCGCATGGATACAGGAAGACATTGGAGTGGCACCCTGTGAGAGGATATTTTTCCACAGCACATGTCGCATTTCATGGATATCTCATAAACAGGAGTTCTCAAACAAGTAGGTTCCAAAGGAGGTGAACCGCAAGCTTTAATGCCTAATTGCAGGCTATCTATGAGGTGAGCGCATATCTTCACTTGAGGGAGGAGGCACAAGCAGTCACCTATTTAATGATATTGAAGATTCTCCAGCACAAAGTCACTTTTTTTGTGGGACATTATTATTATACAGAATTATATTAATATATTTTTTATTTAGTTATTTTTTCACTGTTTTATGCATACTGTTTATTGGAGTGGACTGTAACAGATTCACAAATGCAGTCATCTATGTTTATCAATACACATTTTTATTTATTTAGATATACAGATTGAAAGGTTGTGAGCGCAATACTACACTTATCTTTATTCAAAGCCAAACAGGTATTTGTTCTGCCAGCTATTGTATGTTGCTCAATATTCATTTATTAGTGGTGTATCCATCCCTGATGACCCTTCTTTTTCTGTAAGGCTTCAGCAGTTTGTATAAACCCATTGTCTGTTTTTCCATTGCTAGTTCATATTTAAGAATGTTTTTGGTTTTTTTTTCTGGTAGAGCCTGTGATTTGCCTCCAAATCATAGTCCATGTTTGGCATCATTGAGCTCTAGTACTATGATGGGGGCATGGGAACTTGCAAGACCTTCATCTATGGTGGTTGCCAACGAAATGCAAACAATTTCCCTAAAAAAGATGCCTGCAAGAGCAAGTGCACACTTGGCAGCTTTTTATTCTGTTTGGCATTGCATGTTACTCAGTATTGATTCCTTAGTTATCCATTAGTGGTACACCCAGGCTAGATGACACTTTTCTTACTATAGTCATGGTGCTGTCACATAATATCTTTAGACAGGTATTTGTTCTGCACATTATTGTATGTTGCTCAATATTGATTCATTAATGGTGTAGCCATCTCTGATGAAACTTTTTTTCAGTAAATTTCCAGCAGTCATCATTTATTACCAGTTATCTTTTCCATTACTATTCAATATTTAGATGTTCAGTGCCTGTGACTTGCCTCCAGTGACCGGTATTGTAAGGCAACATAAAACGCTTTTACTTTGATAAACACCTGGGCATTTGCCAGACCTTCGTCTATGGCGGTTGTGGAGGAAATGAAAACAATTTTGCAAGTCTGGAAGCCTGCAAGTATCTTTGCGACCCAGGTATTTGTTTCTGTTTGTTATTGCATGTTTCTCAATGTTGATTCATTAGTGGTATCCGAGTTGGTATCAAAAAGTTTTGAGACTAGTTTTGTAACATGCCAACAGATGGCAGCACAAAGCTGCATGCACAGTCACAGGGAGTACCAACCTTCATAAGATGGCAGATGTGCCAAAACACATTGGGAGCTATGTAGGTAACTGGTGCTATTCTGACCACATGCGTTACCACATCTGCTTTTTTATCATGGACAGCAAGTTAGAATGAAGAGCAAACATGAAATTTTGTGTGAAACCCAAACATCAACGTTTTGTTACTAGTAATCATTGGACATGAAGGACAGGTCATTCACGGCACGCTGATGGAGCTCTTGGCAAACTTCAACATGATGTTCCTTCTGCTCCTGGGTCAGCAGCCTGGAGACGGACTTGGCAGCAACACAGCACATGTTCAAATCACACATGGGGATTGCTGGACTGTTTATGACACATTGACAAGGACAGCAATGTTGTGGATTGTTCTCATTAGGCACACATTGCTGAATGGTTTCAACATTTTCAGGGGTTGAACTCATTGAAGGTCTGATCTCTCGTCGTCTTCCAGTGATGTTCTTCCTCTCTTGAAGCATTGCACAGCTCCAAATTGTACACAGGACGTGGATGTCAGAATTTTGGCACGCTGACAGGATGATGTGTTTTGGCACGCCGAAGGTTGGTGCCCCCTGTGACTTGTGTGCAGCCTTGTGCCATCTTGTTGGCTTGTTACAAAACTAGTCTCAAAAAAACACCTCGAATCCAGGCTAGATGACACTTTTTAATAATGTTGCAATAGTCATGATGTTATAATGTAATAACTTGTTCCATTGATATTTTGGTGTTTATGTTTTTTTTAATTTCAGGATCAATTTGTAACTTACCTCAAGATTCCGGTCCATGTAATAGGATCAATGAAGCGCTATTACTTTGATAGGACTACAAACTCATGCCGCACATTCACTTATGGTGGTTGTTTGGGAAATGGAAACAATTTTAAAACTAAGTTCGAGTGCCAGCACGCCTGCATGACAGGTATTTTTTCTCTGTTTCATCATTGTATGTTGCTCAGCATGGATTCATTTCAGCTCAGTTCAAACCTGAATTCCACACTTCTTTTTTTCTTCTAAAGTCTACCACTTTGCAGTCTTTGGCACTGTACTGGGATCACAGGAGTTCCGGGGTGTAGTGGGCATACGCATGGAGCAATGTTTTACTAGACCTGACCTAAGAAAGTACATAGGCAGCAACAGGCCGCCTTCTGGAAATGCTAGTTGCCTGGCTGTCTGTGGCTTTAGTATAGTCTGAGTGGCTGGCTTTTCAGACAGCATGATAGTCAGGCAACAAGCGGGAGCAGAGGTTCATGATGATTGTTGACATTTTCTCTGTGCAAATGTATGAATTGTGAATTCTGAAAAAAAATTGAATGAATGAATTGGGAATTCTGAAAAAAATAAAATTAAAAATAAATAAATAAATAAATAATAATAATAATAAAAAAAAAAAAAAAAAAAAATATATATATATATATATATATATACCGTATTTTCTGGCGTATAAGACGACTTTTTGACCCTTGAAAATATTCTCAAAAGTCGGGGGTCGTCTTATACGCCGGTACACGTCAGGGGGCACTTTTTAGGGGGGGGGGGGCGCTGTGCTGCCGCCGTCCCCCCCTTCCGACGGAAGGGACACCAAGTACAGGGGTGGGCAGAGGGCTGCAGTCTCTTACCTGGCTCCCATGACGATCCATCCAGGAAGCGCTGCTCCTTCAGTCACTCCGGCCACTCCCTCACTCCTGCCGCTCGGCTCCGCCTCCTCACTGGTGATTGGCCGCCAGAACTGTAGCTCAGGAAAGGCACACAGGCGGCCAATCACGGGCGAGGAGGTGGAGCCGAGCGGACCCGCGAATATCGAGTGAGGGTAAGTGTACAGTGCAGAGGTGCTGCTGCAACCACATATGCTGGCTGCAGCAGTACCATACTAGAACAGGAGTCAGCAAGTGTCATTGGTGTCAGTGGGAGGAATAGTGCCCCATCATTGGTGTCACTGATACTAATGATGGGGCATTATTCCTCCCACTGACACCAATGTTGGGGCGCTATTCCTCCCACTGATACCAATGATGGGGTACTATTCCTCCCACTGATACCAATGATGGGGCACTATTCCTCCCACTGACACCAATGTTGGGGCGCTATCCCTCCCACTGATACCAATGATGGGGCACTATTCCTCCCACTGATACCAATGATGGGACACTATTCCTCCTACTGATACTAATGATGGGGCACTATTCCTCCCACTGACACCAATGTTGGGGCACTATTCCTCCCACTGACACCAATGATAGGGCACTATTCCTCCCACTGATACCAATGATGGGGTGCTATTCCCCCCACTGACACCAACGATGGGGCACTATTCCTCCCCCCACTGACACCAACGATGGGGCACTATTCCCCCCACTGACACCAATGATGGGGCATTATTCCTCCCCCCACTGACACCAATGATGGGGCACTATTCCTCTCCCCACTGATGGAGCACTATTCCTCCCACTGACACCAATGTTGGGACACTATTCCTCCCACTGACACCAATAATGGGGCGCTATTCCTCCCACTGACACCAATGATGGGGCGCTATTCCTTCCACTGACACCAATGATGGGGTGCTATTCCTTTCACTGACGCCAATGATGGGGCGCTATTCCTCCCACTGATACCAATGATGGGGCACTATTCCTCCCACTGATACCAATGATGGGGCGCTATTCCTCCCACTGACACCAATGATGGGGCACAATTCTTCCCACTGATACCAATGATGGAGTGGTATTCCTCCCACTGACACCAATGATGGGGCACGATTCCTCCCACTGACACCAATTATGGGGCACGATTCCTCCCACTGACACCAATGATGGGGTGCTATTCCTGCCACTGACACCAATGATGGGGCACGATTCGCTGCTCTGACACCAATGATGGGGCACGATTCCTCCCACTGACACCAATGATGGGGCACTATTCCTCCCACTGACACCAATGATGGGGCACTATTCCTCCCACTGACACCAATGATGGGGCACTATTCCTCCCACTGACACCAATGATGGGGCACTATTCCTCACACACTGACACTAATGATGGGGCACCATCATTGGTGTCAATGGGAGGAATAGTGCCCCATCATTGGTGTCAGTGGGAGGAATAGTGCCCCATCATTGGTGTCAGAGTGAGGAAGCGTGCCCCATCATTGGAATACCATACCATATTGAAATCAAATCTGATGTTTTTAAATTTTTGGTGTGCGTTGGAAGAGGGGTAGTCTTATACGGTGAGTATAGCCCAAACCCTATATTTTAACAGGAAAAGTAGGGGGTCGTCTTATACGCCGGCAAATATGGTATATATATAATATATATATATATATATATATATATATATATATATATTTTTTTTTTTTTTTTTTAGATGTTTCTAAGGAGAAGATGCCATTGCTGATTCTAAGGATTTCTGGACAGTCTTTGTCCCCGCACAGAGTGAACTATATCTCATTATAATACAGTGCAGTAGGGCAATTTCTAAATTTGTAACCCTTTGATAGGACAGACAATGTTCACATCTAGTTTACAGCTAATAATGATGAGTTGCGAACACAGTGCACACAGGGTAAATTATGTTAAATATTACCCCACAGCCCCCTTCTAAACATTACAAGCAGGAAGGGCATGTAAGCATTTTAAGCAAATAAAATGGTAAGCAGCATTTTGTTAAGCTATGCTATGTTATTGGGAGCATTTAGCCACTTGTCCTCCTGAGGATTTACCCCCCTTAATGACCAGGCCTCTTTTTGCTATTCGGCGCTGCACTAATTCAACTGATAATTGCGCGGTCATGCAATGCTGCACCCAAACGAAATTTATGTCCTTTTTTTCACACAAATAGAGCTTTCTTTCGGTGGTATTTGATCACCTGTGCGCTTTTTATTTTTCACGCTATAAACAAAAAAAGACCAACAATTTTGAGGAAAAACAATATTTTTTACTTTCAGCTATAAAAAAATATATAGTAAACTCAAAGTTAGTTATAAATTTAGGCCAAAATGTATTTTGCTACATGTTTTTGGTAAAAAAAATCCCAATAAGTGTATATTGATTGCTTTGTGTGAAAGTTATAGCGTCTACAAACTATGGTATAGATACTGCAATTTACGAAATTTTTTTTGCTATACAGCACTGCGGACAATTGTGCGGTCATGCAATATGGTACATAAATGAAATTTATGTCCTTTTTTTCACACAAATAGAGCTTTCTCTTTTGGTGGTATTTGATCGCCTGAGCACTTTTTATTTTTGGCGCTATAACCAAAAAAAAATTTTGAAGAAAAAAACATTTTTTTAAAAAAAACATTTTCTCATTTCGGTCATAAAAAATATCCAAAAAAACTAAAATTTCATCATAAATTTAGGCCAAAATGTATTCTGCTACATGTTTTTGGTTAACAAAATCCCAGTAAGTGTATATTGATTGCTTTGTGTGAAAGTTATAGCATCTACAAACTATGGTATAGATAATGGAATTTACACAGCTTTTACTTTCTGACTGCCCAGCACAATTCTTGAGGTGCTAAAATACCAGGATAGTACAAAAACACCCTCAAATGACCCCTTTTCGGAAAGTAGACACCCTAAGCCAGGGGTCCTCAAACTGCGGCCCGCCGAGGACATTTATCCGGCCCGCCGGCAGGGGCATATTTGCTGCGAGGAAGGGACACTAAGTACAGGGGTGGGCAGGGGGCTGCTGTATCTTACCTGGCTCCGTGTCCCAGTCCCACGACGATCCAGTCCAGGAAGCGCTGCTGTTTCATTCACTCCGGCTACTCCCTCACTCGATGTTCGTGCTGCCGCTCGGCTCTGCCTCCTTGCTGGTGATTGGGCGCCAGAACTGTAGCTCAGGAAATGCACACAGGCGGCCAATCACCTGCGAGGAGGCAGAGCCAGTGGCCCTGCGAACATCGAGTGAGGGAGAAGCTGGAGTGAAGGACAGCTGACAGTTAAGTGTGCCGTGCAGATGGTGCTGCTGCAACCAGGTATGCTGGCTGCAGCAGCACCATGCTGGAAGAGGGGTCAGCAAGTTAAGTGTCATTGGGAGGAATAGTGCCCCATCATTGGTGTCACTGATACTAATGATGGGGCATTATTCCTCCCACTGACACCAATGATGGGGCACTATTCCTCCCACCCCACTGACACCAACGATGGGGCACTATTCCTCCCCCCCACTGACACCAACGATGGGGGACTAGTCCACCCCCACTGACACCAACAATGGAACACTATTCCTTCCCTCACTGATACCAATGATGGGGTACTATTCCTCCCACTGACACCAATGTTGGGACACTACCCCCCCCCCCCACACTGACACCAATGACTGGGCACTATTCCCCCCCCACTGACACCAATGACGTACTATTCCTCCCACTGACACCAAAGAAGGGGCACTATTCTTCCCACTGACACCAATGATGGGACACTATTCCTCCCACTGACACCAATGTTGGGACACTATCCCCTTCCCCCACTGACACCAACAATGGGGCACTATTCCCCCCCCCACACTGACACCAACGATAGGGCACTATTCCTCCCCCCACTCACACTAATGATGGGGCACTATTCCTCCCCCCACTGACACCAATGATGGGGCACTATTCCTCCCCCCACTGACACCAATGATGGGGCACTATTCCTCCCACTGACACCAATGATGGGGCACGTTTCTTCCCACTGACACCAATGATGGGGCACGTTTCTTCCCACTGACACTAATGATGGGGCACTATTCCTCCCACTGACACTAATGATGGGGCACTATTCCTCCCACTGACACTAATGATGGGCACTATTCTTCCCACTGACACTAATGATGGGACACTATTCCTCCCACTGACACCAATGATGGGCACTATTCTTCCCACTGACACCAATGATGGGGCACTATTTTGCTCCATAAGACACACTTGGGGGGAAATGTCTGTGCGTCTTATGGAGCGGTATTCCCGCCGCCGTTGTATGTCCGCAGTCTCTGGTCATCTCATGTACTGTGTCCGCATTCTCTGG